GGGGGGCCGCGGGGGGAGCGTGGGAGGCGAAGCCACGTGGGGGGGCCGCGGGGGGAGCGTGGGAGGCGAAGCCACGTGGGGGGCCGCGGGGGGAGCGTGGGAGGGGAAGCCACGTGGTGGGGACGTGGGGGGAGCTGGGAGGGGAAGCCACGTGGGGGGCCGCGGGGGGAGCTGGGAGGGGGAAGCCTCGTGGGGGGTCCGCGGGGGGAGCTGGGAGGGGAAGCCACGTGGGGGGAGCGTGGGAGGGGAAGCCACAGGCCATCACAGGTCTGAGCTGGAAAGTGCTGGCTTTGGCGCCAGGCTTGGGGAGGGGAAGGGAGTGCAGACCGTGAGCCTGGGCCCTGGGACCCGGGGGTGTCGGGGACAGGGGTCACGGGTGCCCTGCCGCCTGCGCCCCGCGCCCAGCTCGAGGGCCCCGCCGGGGCTGCGGCCGTAATTGGATTTGCCCGGCAGCTGTCGGAGCTAAGCGGGCCCACTTGATGCAGCCGCGGTTGGCCAGTAACTGGTGACATGAGCGGTGGGCAGGGCGCAGGTCAGGCGGTCAGCGCTGTAGCGGGGGCGGCGATGAAGCTGGTCCCCTTGCGGGCTGGGAGCCGGGCTCAGCCTTCTGTGCGTCCGTGGCTCTCCGGTTCCTCCCGCAACGTGCTTACGAGGCCCCCAGCTGCCGGCGGGTCCGCAGGCCGGGCCTAGAGGTGCGGCCAACAGCCAGGTCACCTAGTGTCCCCTTGGCCAGGGCGCTCGCAGCACCCAAGGGGCTTTGCAGCCCCTGGAGATCTTGGGGTGATGCCCCTGGACTTCATAGAAGCAGGCCCCCCTCGCAGGTGAGCACCCAGGCCCATCTGGAGGCTTCCAGCGCCGCATCCCAACTTCCAGGCCCACCTGTAGCTTCCTCGGTGTCGCCGTGCGTCTGCAAACGGGGATGGATTCCTCCCAGCTCTGTCTCTGGCCAGATCCCACCCTCCCCTAGAGGCTTATGGGCCCCAGAAGCTTCACCCGTCATGAGTTCTAGAGGACATCCTCTGAACACACCCCTTGATTCTTGCTGTTCCCTGGAATGGTGTGCTCCTACCTTCTTTCATTTCACCTAAGTTATTCGACACCTACTACTCGCCAGGCCAGGAGTCAAGATGCCCAGATGAGCAGAATCTGATCAGGTCCTGGCGCAATCGGCACACAGGGCGCCTTTCCTGGCTGCGGCCCCTCTTCCCAGCCTGGGAACCAAAGACCCCGTCACTAATCAGCCTTGAACCCTGAAACCCGGAATCACTCCATTTCTGGCTCCACTCCAGCCTCCAAGGAATAAGGAATTGCCAGCATGACAGTCTTTCACAGACGCACATGTGCGTGCGTGCGCACACAGACACAGACACACAGACACAGACACACAGACACACACACACAGACACACACACACACACGGGCCCACTTCAGCTTTGTTGCTGCAATTATTGTTATTGTTACCATTATTATGTTAAAGGCACATCCTTTGGATGAAATCCTGGCTCAGCCACCACTTGCCAGTTATGTGACTCTCTCTGTGCCTCAGTTTCCCCAGTGGCTACAGTCTGGGAGAGGGTGGGCGTTCAATGGAACCAAGCGTATCCCCCTCACCGGCCTCCTTGCGGCTCCTCAGCAGGGCAGGGTCTTTGCGTCTGCTCTTCCCTCTGCCTACAATGCTTTTCCTCCAGATACTAATGTGGCCTGTGGTCTCCCTTTCACCCCCTGCTGACAGATGTCACCTGATGCAGGCCTCCCGGGAGCACACACCAGCAGATCGCCCGCCGTGCCCTCGACCCGCCTTCTCCGTGCGCTTACCTGACCGCGCTTCCTGTCCGGTATTCAGCATGACGGGGACAGCGCCCACACACCTGCCTGCCCTCTGCCTCCAGCAAAACGCCTGCCCCGTCGGAGCAGGCATCTGTCGTGTCCACCGCCGTGTCCCCAGGGCCCACACTGTGCCTGGCATATAATAACACACCCAGCACACGTTTCTCGAATTGCACTGAATCAGAAGCGCGGGACCTTGAAACTTAAGATTGTTTCAAAATACAAATATAGTTAAAATATTTTTCTTTTTAAAATGTTTTTTGTTTATTCTTTTTTTTAATGTTTTTTTATTTATTTCTAGGAGAGAGAGAGAGAGAGACAGCGTGAGCAGGGGAGGGTCAGAGAGAGAGGGAGACACAGACTCTGAAATAGGCTCCAGGCTCTGAGCTGGCAGTCAGCACAGAGCCCGACGCGGGGCTCGAACCCACGAACCGCGAGATCATGACCTGAGCGAAAGTCGGACGCTTAACCGACTGAGCCACCCAGGAGCCCCTGTTTTTTGTTTATTCTTAAGAGACAGAGGGTCAGAGCGTGAGCAGGGGAGGGTCAGAGAGAGAGGGAGACACAGAATCCAAAACAGGCCCCAGGCTCCGACCTGTCAGCACAGAGCCCGACGCGGGGCTCGAACCCACGAACCGTGAGATCATGACCTGAGCCGAAGTCGGACGCTCAACTGACTGAGCCACCCAGGTGCCCCTAAAAAATATTTTTAAACGACTAGCACTTGGTAGGCCCACAGGTAATCAGCACTGTCACCCCTTCCGTGATGGGAAGCTCACCCCCCAGGGAAGTCCGCCTTGCCCTGGTCTGAGGGAAAGCTCCGGTTTCATGAGGCCAGAACCTGCTCGCGGTGGCGCCCGGCCCCTCCGGTCTCTAGGCCTCAAACCCGTCTGCTCTCCTGGCCTCAGGGAGCCCTGCAGACTTGGGCCTGACAACCGGACTCCATGAGGCTGCCTTCCTCCAAGCTGAGTCTCCCCAGCTTCTCCCGGGATGGGGTCTCCAACCTTCTCTGGACCCACCCCAGGCGGCTCCTTCCCCTCTCCTCAGGCAGGGCCCGCAGCGGAGCACAAAGCGGGACCAGAAAGTCTGAACCGAAGAGCTCTCCATCCCCTGGGGGCGCATGAGACCTCTGAGGCATCTTCTCATCAACGCCTTTGGTCACACAAAGCTTGTGGTCCACTAGGATCTCCGGCTCCTGGGCCCCACGTGGCTGACACAGCCAGGTCTCCCCAGCCCGACCACCTTCTTCTCTTTAAAGCAGAATTACTAGATTCAGTCCAGTTCCAGGGCTGGTCGATAGGGCTGCATCTGCTTCCCTCCCAACAGAGCGTGTCTGCGAGTATGACACCCGTGCCTTTGGTGGCCCCTTCAAAGCCCGAGTGCCAACACCGAGGACACAGTGCTGAGGACAGAGCCCTGGGGCCACCTGCAGAGACCTCACCCCGGCTCCTGGACGAGCAGGCCACACAAACTCCTTGGTACCACAAAGATTTACTGAGTACCCGCGGTATCCGTGCCCGGGGCTAGGTACTAGATCCGAGTTCCGTTCCTGTTTATGGTGCCCTGGGGCAGCGGACTGACATCCAACCGCCTTCCACTCCTCCGCGCTAAACACACACAGACAAAAATGTGTGCGCTGTGTCCCACGTGAGCCCCTCAGGCTACAGTCCCCCCCCCACAGGGTTACTTTGGGGCTCAGTCGGGGTCCCAGTCCTCAGAAGGCCCCCTTGAAGAAGTGATGGTTGAGCAGAGGTCTAGAGATGAGTGGGCATTTGCCAGCAAGTGCAAAGGCCCTGAGGTGGCAAGGCATTTGGCTCAGTGGAGGAACAGAGAGGGGGCCGGTATGCCTGGAGATTAGAGAGAGCGTGTTGCCGGGGGGTGAGACCAGGGAGGGCGTAGGGGCTGGAGGCCGTGGGGGGAGGACGCGGCCCCGTCACAGAGCCACTGGCGGGCTCCACGCGGCAGGGCTGGGCCGAGGCGGATTGCGGGTCACGGTGACCCAGATGACACAGACGCGGGGGTCACAGGCCACCTGCAGGGCCCCACCCCCGCCCCTCCCGCGCACGCAGCCTGCATGTGGAGGCGGCGCCCACGGCCGTGGCCGGGGCCCCGGGGCCCCCCACACACACGCGGGCGAGCTGTTTCCACGAGCTCTCTTGGCACGTTTATTAAGCATCAGCCGCGCTCGCGGCCCGAGTGGCGGCCCGTGTGGCCGGGCGGCCGGACCCTCACTTGTTGTCCATGCGCTTGAGCTGCTCCTTGCCGTTGACGGTCACCGACTTGAGCTGCCCGTCCTCCTCCACCTCCACGCGCTCGTGCCCGTTCTCCACGACGCGCTTGGTCGTGACCTTGTGGCCGTTGACCATCTCGGTGGACGACATCACCGACTTGAACCCCGAGCCGCCCGAGCCCCCGAAGGACGTGGACGAGAAGGCGGTGCGGCAGGCGCCGCTGCCCCGGCTCAGGGCGTCGAAGGTCGAGAAGGCCTCCATGAAGGCCGGGAACTCGCCGAAGCCGGCGGAGAAGGCGCCCCGCAGGCCGGGGCCCCGGCCCGCGCGCTCGCTGCTGAACGGCGTGTCCCAGAAGTCGAACGAGAAGGGGTCCAGGCCGCCGAAGAACTCGCGGAAGATGTCCTCGGGGTTACGGAAGGTGTAGCCGGTGTCGAAGGGGCTGCCGTGGGGGGCGCTGGCCCCGCCGCCCGCCCGCCAGCCGTCGCAGCCCGCGCGGTCGTACACGGCGCGCTTCCTGGGGTCGGACAGGACCTCGTAGGCCTCGGACACCTGCTTGAACTTCTTCTCGGCCTCCTCCTTGCTGTCGGGGTTCTTGTCCGGGTGCCAGCGCAAGGCCAGCTTGCGGTAGGCCTTCTTGATGTCCTCGGGGGAGGCGCTGGGCTGCACCCCCAGCACCTCGTAGTAGTTGGCCATGCCGAGGGGGGCGTGGGGGGCAGGCGAGGCGGGCGCCGGGGCCCAGCGGCAGGGGCGGTCTGGGGGGGGCAGCGGCGGGCGGGGGTCCCTCGGCGGCGGGGGGGCCTTGCTGGGATCTGCTGGCTCCGGGCGCGGCTCTGCCCTGCGAGTTCACCCTTTCATAGTACCAGCTCGCGGGGACAGGTGGGCGCCTCGCGGAGAGGGGTGGGGGAGGGGACAGTGCCGCAGTGGGGCCCGGCCAGGGGCAGGCCCCGGGAGCAGAGGCTGGGCCCTTTGTGACATCAAGCCCTGGGCGGGGCCGACCGCCCCCCACCCCACCCCCCCGCCGGACCTGGCTGCGGCGGGCACCTTGGGGGCCCGGAACGTGGAGGCTGGTGGCGCCGGGCCCCTTGGCCGAGCTCCTGGGGGCCAAGGAGCAGAGGATCCGCCACGGGAGGGGCCTCGGTGAGCCCGTCAGGTCGCAACCCCGGTCAGGGAGGGGCAGGGAGGCCTTCCTGGGACGCGCCGTTCAGCCCCCCAGCCGGCTGTTGGGATGGAGTGAGGGGCCCAAAGCGGGGAATCGGGGAGGGAGGTGGGAGCAGGAATTCGTTCCCCTCGCGCCCCCTTACTCGGGTCAGATCCTCAGAGGGGAGCCCCACACAGGCAGGGATGCTCCGTGCCTCGCAGTCAGTAACTGTTTACTGAATGAGGCTCAGAGACGTGCAGGGTGTACTCAGGGTCACACAGCAGGTCAGTGAGAGAGAAAGAGCTGCAAACCCAGGGCTGTGTGAGGACGGCGCACGAGAGGAAGCCTCTCACGCAATTCTGGGAACGGTCGGGCGCGTCGTGGTGAAACGGTGGCCCCCGAACGCTGTGTTCCTTCCTGCCCCGGTCGCTGGGGCCCGTGAAGGGGCTTATGTGGGGACAGGTGTCTGCAGGTGGAAACGGGAGCATCCCGATTTCCGCGTCCTTACAGACACGCGCGGAAGAGGGGCCGGCAAGCTGCAGGGCGGGGTGGGGGGGGGGGGGGCTGCGCTCACCAGACGCGGACTGGATCCCGACGCGGGGCTCGAACTCACCAACCGTAAGGTCACGAGCTGGGCTGGACGCTTCGCGGACCGAGCCCCCAGGCGCCCCCTCTTGTTTGAGGTCACGGGTCCGCAGTGACCTATGACGGCGCCCAGGGAGGCGCGGGAGGCAGCCCCACGTCCTCGGCCTCCCCGTCCTTACTTCTCGCTCCCATGGGGCCCGGACGGAGAAACTGAAGGAACTGTACTGACTGACGTGTGTCCCCCCCCCTCGCCCCCGTGACGGCGAGCAGGGGCTCAAGGACCCGGTCAGCGCATCACCGAGGAGAGGGCTGTCTCCAGCGCCTAAGAAGGCTCCGCTTCCTTCTCTCCTTCCCCCTCCCCGCCCTTCCTCCCTCACCCCTGCCTGTGCTCTCTCCGTCCCCCTTCCCTCCCCGCTGCTGGGTCCCCGGCACCCAGCAGGGACAGGCCAACCCCAAGTGCCAGCAGGTGGAAGGCAGAACCTGGGGACGCTTTGCCAGCCCGACCGAGAGCGAGGGACACCCGTCACACCCCCCAGGGCCTGTCCTCTGGGGCCCGGGTCCCCCCAGCCACGCGGAACAGCGCCGGGCACGCGTCACTCAGTAGAGGAAGTGAACAGCGGAGAGCAAGTCCGCTGGGGGTAGCGACAGATGAAAGCGTCTCTGTATTTTTGTAACTGTATTTGTGTCACTGTAGTCGCAGCCTCGACAGGCCTGCCCGTTGGGGCCGGGGAAGCCGCCCACCCGCACAATGCTCGACTGTGACGACTGCGACGACTGTGACGACTGTGACGACTGTGGCGGTGGAGGTGTGTGCGGTGGTGAATAAGGCAGCGTGTGACGTGGAGGCGGTGGGGAGGACGAGGGTCCGGATGGTGGTGACAGTGACCCGGAAGTGAGGCGGGGTGGTGACAGTCGTCATGCTTGCAGTGGGGAAGTGGCATGTGGTGGCAGTGGTGACAATGGACGGGGCAGGCGCTCTCGGGGGACCAGTGATGGTGGACGGGGTCTTGGCAGTGACAGTGGGGTTGTGACAGGGAGGGGACGGAAAGGCTGCTATCGGGGCGCTCGGTGGTGGCCGCGTTGGTGATGGCGATGGTGATGAAGGCAGTGGCGGAAGTGGCATGTGGTACGGCTCTGCTTCGCTAACAGCCGCCGCGTCCCAGAGCCTCACCCTCTTGGGTCGTCAGCACCCAGGGGTCAGCGGCTGGGACCCCAACTCCAGGTCTTCTCGGCCGGGATCCCCGGCGAGGAAGGGCTCCGGTCTGGAACACGCGTTCTCGTGGTAGGCGGGGGGCCGGGGGGGCGGGGGGTAAGAGCTGGGCAACAGGTGGAGTGCCTCCGGAAACTTCTCCTGGGATGGGAGGTGCGTCACCCTGGCTCATGGCCACATGGCCAAGGCCAGCGTCAGCGAGTCGGGGAACAGTGCTCCTTCAGGAAAGTTCTGCGAGTCTCTAGCAACAGCCGGGAGGCACAGTCCTCGGGGGAAGCAGGCGACCCCGTGGTGTGCGGCCGGTCGTGGGGGCGGGGGGTGGCCCTGGTGCTGCTCGCCACGACAGGCTCTGCGACAGCCACAGAGGGCTTGCTGGCACCGGGGTGGGTGGGGGGGACGCGGAGCAGCGCCGACGCTGACAGCCACGTGCCCGCGCGGAGTCCTGAGTTTCCTGCTGTTGAGTCGGCGCTGGCGCGGCGTCCCAGAGAGCTCGGGCGCGTTTTCCAGAACCCCCTTTCCCACGTGCTGCAGGGCGGAGGCCGCCGTGCAGGAGCCGCGGGGGGTGGGAGGGAGCTGCTGCGGGCAGATGACACCGGACGTTTGCAGCAGCTTCCGGGCAATCCTCTGAGAAGCGCCCGCTGCGTGAGACGCTCATGGGGAGCTTCCGGAAGCTTCCAGGCAAACTCAGGCGCTCGGCTCACTTTGGAGAGCGGACCAAGACCATCAGCGACGACTTGTTTCCCTGATGGTTGCGCACCCAGGTCCTCCCACGGTTGTAAAAACTCGCGTCAAGTGCCTTCACGCCCGTGACGGGTGACAGTCGGAGGCGTTGTGCACGCGGTCACGGTGACGGCGGCCGGGGCGAAGGGGGTGCGGGCGGGGGAGGCCCCGACGATGGTAGGAATGAGGAGGGAGGCGGCAGTGGGGACGCTGGGCGAGGTGAAAATGGCGGGGACACTGGTGGTGACAAGGACAAACACGGAAGTGGCAACAACGGGGGGGGCATGGTTGCCATGGCGATGGTGACGCGGGTTGAGATGAAGATGGCGGTGGTGACAAGTGACTGGCGATGGTGACACAGGGCCTATTGGGGGTCAAGGTCGCGCGAACGCTGTCGAGGTGGAGATGGGTGGTCATGGTGGTGGTGGAGGTGACGTCAGAGGCAGGGTGTGGCCGTGGGCACGGCGGTGGGGTGGTGACAGGGATGTGGGGTGGTGACAGGGATGTGGTGTGATCGCTGGTGACACTGGCCGAGGGAGACAGCCGTGACGGGGCTGAGGGTAACGGTGACACTGGCCAGGGCGTTGGTGATGGTGGCACCCCTACAGAAGCCTGAGGGTCCCCTAACGGTGTAAGCGGGGCGGCGTGCGGGCGGTCACAGCCCGTTAGGAGATGAGGGGGCCGGAGGATGAGACGCCGCCCCTCCCCCCGGGCCCCTGCCCGCGTCGCCTGAGCCTGAGGGCCTGCAACGCCCTTGCCCGGAGGGCCTTTCCTGGCCGCTGCTGGTCCCCCGGCAAGACCTGCCCGCCGCTCTGACCCGCCCCGAGCTGAGCCCCGGCCCCCCGGGGTGGTCTGTGCGTAGGAGGCAGCGGGGACGGGGACAGGGCTGGAGGCCCCCGGGGATTCCGGGCTGTCCCAGGCCGCGGAGAGCAGGCCACTCGGTAGGACTTAGGGGATGGGGCCCCCAGCTTGGCCAAGGGCAGTGAGCTTCCCACCGGCGAAGGCGTGGGACCCGGCAGCTTCCAGAGGGGACGTTCCCGGCGGAGAACGGCTCTGACCGGTGCCCTCTGAAATCCTCAGACCGAAAGCGTTGGCCGCAGAGCCCCGGGGCCGCAGGCAGGTGCAGGCCGGACTTCAGCTCAGGCGCCCACGGGCTGTTAGCTCACTCGCCCCCTCTGAGCAGCGCTGTCCTCATTCACCAGTGGGGGGGCAGACACCTCCCTTTCGGGGCCGTCGTCCCCTCCGGGGAGCCAAGCCAACCCCCTGGCTTGCACCCCTGGCGTCCTGGGTCCCCGGCCGAGGCCCCCCCCAAGCCTGCCCCCCGATCCTGGGAAGAGACAGAGGTAGCTGGGTGTCCGGGTGATGGGGCGCACAGGGAGGCCCAGAGAGGGCACGGCACGCCCAAGGTCACACAGCGGTGCCAGAACCGTCCCCAGGGCGAGCTGATGGAGGCCGATTAGGCAGCCAATTGGTATTCTGAGCAGCCAGAGGCCCCTCTCTGTCTCTGTAATTAATGGAGTGGCTTTTTAAAAGGATTCTAATCACCCCCGATCCTATCTGCTTATCACTAGCGTTCCTAATTAGATGATCCTGGCAGTCACTCGGCTAATTCCCTCCAGCCTCCTGCAGCCCTGCCCAGCCCAGGGCAGCCCGCCCCGCCCCCGCAGGCCACCCCAGCCCGGCCAGATGGGCAGCCCGGGCCCTCTCTCCCCTCAGGGCCCCTGGTCCTCTAACCACATTACCTTCGGGATGGATGGGCCCCTGTGATGGACGGCCATGAGGGCGGCTGGGCGGCTGGCCAGGGAACCCGGAGGTTCAGAGCGCAGCCTGTCGGGTCGGACAGCTCTGCCACTCACCGGCTCTGTGTTCTTGGGGGAGTCACTTAACCTCTCTGTGTCTCACGTTCTCCATCTCATCTGTGAAGTGGGAATAATAGCAGCCTGTCCTCACGGGGTTGCTGTGAGGACGGCCGAGAACAGACGAAAGGCCGCGTGATCGGGCTGCCGGCCTGGCAGTGGCAGTGCTGATAACGGGCACACGGACGGGTGGGGGGAGGGGAGGGTGGGTACGGGGGCGGGTGAGCATCTCCGCTGGGGCGCTGAGGGAGAGCTGCTCAGGTGGTGGGTGGCAGACAGGTAGAGGAGACAGTGAGTGCCCAGGGCGAGGCAGGGGGGCGTGAAGGGGGGAGACGCCGCTCTTCTTCTCCAGAGGGAACGGGACAATCTCAGCTTGGGTCCTGACACACACGTGGCTCAGACCTGCTTTCCCTCCCCAGGACGTCCAGCAAGGCTTCCTGTTCAATCGTCGTGGGCGCCCACCGGGTCCCCTGGATCCTTTCCCCTCACCCTCCAGCCAGGTTACACCCTTCCTGGTGGCGCTCCGTGCGGTCTCTGGAAGCTCAGACCTTACTGCCTGAGCAAAGGTATCGTTTGTGGGACCCCCCTCCCCGAGTTCCAAAGTGCAGCAGCCTGTCAGGGCAGCCACTCTCCTCTCCGCACCCAGAGTGCCCTAGGCCTCAGCCCGCGCCCCCATGGAGCAACTCTGGGCAGAGCTCTGATCCCACTTCCAATGACTATTCCTAAGCTTCCAGGAGGATTCAGCCCCACTGCCTACATACGCACCCCTGGACGTCTGCAGCTTCTGGGATGTGGGGCTTCCTGGGGCTTTCTGGAAAGATTATAGAACAAAGAAGCCTGAAGTGTCTTCCAGAGGCAAGACCTACATGCATATGTACACATTCATACCACAACCATCCACCCACCTACCCACCCACTTACCCACCCATCCATCCCGTCTACTCATCCAACCACCCATCCACCCACCCACCCATCCATCCACCCACCCACCCATCCATCCACCCACCCACCCACCCACCTATCCATCCACCCACCCACCCACCTATCCATCCACCCACCCACCCACCCACCCATCCATCCACCCACCCACCCACCTATCCGTCCATCCAGCCACCCATCCACCCACCCACCCACCCATCTATCCATCCATCCACCCACCCACCTATCCGTCCATCCAGCCAGCCATCCACCCACCCACCCATGTGCCCTTCTACCCACCCACCTATCCATCCACCCATCCACCCACCCACCCACCCACCCATCTATCCATCCATCCACCCACCCACCTATCCATCCACCCATCCACCCACCCACCTATCCGTTCAGCCAGCCCGTCATCTATCCATCCAACCACTTACCCTGTATGTTTCTTGAGCACCTACGCACACGTGCGCTGTGGGCCAGCCACTCTTCTGGGTGCTGCAGGCATGTGTGCCAGTGAGCACACCAGCCGGAGCCTTGCCCTCACGGAGGTGACAGCTAGTGGAGGGACACAATGTACACAGTATCATGTCGGGGGGTGACAGACGCCATGAAGAAAAACAAAACAGAAGGAGGGCTTCGAGTGCCAAGGCTTCTCGTTCAGACAGGGTAGGCAGATAGCCGCCCCCACCTCCTCATGCACGTCAGGGACCCATGCCCCACGCGTGTCCGCACAAATGTCTGCATGTGCACACAGCCCTGCGGTGCGTCGGGGTATGGTGTCTCCAAAGGGGTCGCTGCCCACCCACACTGGGGAGGCCTGGCCCACATCTCTGGCCAGAACTGTTTCCTTCTTCCTCGCCCTGACCTTCCCCTGCCTCTCTCCAGACCTGCCCGCCAGGATCCCAGCACACATCCGGGTTTCACTGGGTCAGCTCGAGAAGGGCCTAGGTGACGTCTGTGCAATATGCAATTCGGAGCCACGAATCTTTCCTGCGCTGGTGTGGGTGTGAGCTGGAAACAGCGCAGAATCCGGCTGTGTCACCCGCGTCCCGCCGCCCGCAGAGGGCCCTCCCGATCCCAGGCTGCGGGAAAGCAGCAGAGCCACACAAACACGGGAACGCAGCTGCCACAAGCATTGGAGAGGTGACACCTGCCTGAGGACATCTGGGAAGGCTGCTCGGAGGAGGTGACATGGGGGCGGGGCTCAGAAAGCCAGTTCCAGCAGAGTCTGTCGAGAGAGGTGACATTGGCCGTTGGTTGCAGCCTCGCACATGTGAAGGTCCTCGGATTTACACGTTGGATGTCCTTTCCAAAGGATATAAATTGCTCGGTTGTGGGGAAAGAAAAGTATTTCCGGGTAGGCAGGAGATGTGCATCATGGGCTATGAGTCTGCTGCACTTTCAGACTACTGAGTGAATGTCTTTCTAAATCAGTGCCCTCCACAGCGTCAGCCTTCCCTCCCCAGGGGACAATGATGGGAGACATTTTTAATTGTCACGACAAGGGGGTAGGGTTGCCATTGGCATCTCATGGGGCGAGGTCAGCGATGCCACCA